GGTGACGCACACATCATGCAAGGTCTTTGGTTGATCTCTCCCCTCCCCTTGCCCCACCCCGTCCCTCTGAGATGCCTCAGTCTGCTCCTGCTTCCGTGCCTCTGGATCTGTTTTGTCTTTGGGCTCTAGTTCCTGCGTCTGTGGAACTCCGTCTTGTCCTGCCTCAGGTGCACGTGGTCACAGCTCAGTAACTGCTAGCTGGTCACCCCTGACAGAGACGCTGACAACGGGCTTCCCGACAGGCGGGAACACTGTCGGGGAGGCATCCACTGCCACTCTCCAGGTTTCATAAGAAGAGCAGACCAGCTGCACAGGTAGACCCTGGAGGACTGGGTTCTCACTGGGTCTTCTGGCTGCCCGGGAACCACCCTCCTCCCATCTTGGTTCCTGTCCTGATCAGCACCTTCCTCTGCTGGTCCTCCCCTGCTCCTAAAAGCGCCTCAGCCATCTTCCTCATCATCACCTCCCCCCGCAAACAGGAGTCAGCGGTTATGAATTTCTAGCCATGTGCCAGGTCTGTTATTTTATAGTCATTCTCTAAGCATTTCTCACAATAACTCAGGAAATGTGGTATAATTTTATCCCATCTTACAGAGGAGGACACTAAAGCTTTCAAGGGGCTAAGTATGTTTCCCAAAGTCTCTGAGCTAAGCGATAAAAAGAGTTGACCGATTTTTTTTACATGCTAACTGTTAAAAAAACAAAAACAAAATTAGCTTTGTTGTGACGTAATTTTCAGACCATACAATTCACCCATTTAGGGTGTACAATTCAATGGTTTGTGTATATTATATTATTTTTTACTATTTTAATGTTTTTATTGATGAGAGAGAGAGAGAGAGAAGGATAATCATCAGTTGGCTGCCTTCTGCATGTGCCCTGACAGCGAATAGAACCGGCGGCCAATGGGTGCATGGGATGATGCTCAACCACTGACCCACACTGGCCAGGGCTACATTATTTTTAATTGTGGTAAAATATATTTAACAAAATTTACCATTCTGGCCACTTTTTTAATGTATAATTCAGTGACATTTATTATACTTACAGTGTTATACAACCATCAATACTCTCTATTTATAAAACACTCTTATGGCCCCAAGGAGAAACTCTGCAACCACGAAATAAACTCCACATGCCTCGGCCCTGGCAGTGGCAGCCAATTTACTGTGAACTCTGTCGGTGGATGTGCCTCGTCCGGACATTCCCGTGAATGAGGTCGCGCAGCCTTTGGGCTCTGCGTCGGGCTCATCTCACGCAGCAGAACGTGTTCGAGCTCCTCCACGGGGAGCATGTGTTCGAACTTCATCCTTTTCGTGGATGAAAGTCCTCCCGCTTAGTGTGCGTGCTGTGTCTCACTCATCCATTCATATTCTGATGGGCATGT